AGTGACCCGAGCTCTTCCTTGATCGCAGCCTTCCATTCTAGGTGATTGGGGCCATTTATTGCCTCTGAGAAATTTCGGGGGATAGGGACATCCCCACCAACGTAAAGAAGTCGAGGCTCCGGCTGAAAGTTAGACCTACTCTCAACCTGTTTGGCTATCCTATTACTCCTTCTAAGACTTGCAACAGGAGGCTGATTATCTGGATCATTTTGCTCTATTAAAGGAGCTGGATGGAGCGTAACAGTTGGAGGGGTACTGAAAGAATTCATTGAAGTTATGCCTTCATCAGAGATTAAAAGATTTTCCTGGGAGGCAACGGAAGAAGTAGTTGAGAAAGAAATAGGATGAGATTGGTTAGAAAAATCCATCCTTGAGTGTATGGGGTTGGGGTTAGGCCCCTCAGAGCTTGAGGAATCTTCTTTGTTGTGATTTGAGCTGCCAATATTTTCAGACTCAATTTCTAAATCACCAAATTGCTCTTGAGCGGACCTACTCCAATCCTAGTATTTGTCCTCCACAAATCGGACATTTGCCGAGACGACAATTTTGTTGCGACCCTGCTTCGAGGGCAAGTAAGCATGGTATTGTGTTGGCAAACCACAATAACCAATAAAGATTCCCTTGAGGGAGGTTGGAGAAAGCTTGTATTGTTGGGGGTCTTCACTGTCTATAAGAACGTAACAGAGACAGCCCCAGACTCTCAAGTGAGAAAGGCCAGAAGAAAAACCGTGAAAGATTTCGTATGGAGAAATCTTTTGGTGAGAATGAGGAAGACGGTTAAGCAAGTAACAGGCCGAAGAAATTGCAGCATCCCAAAATCGAAGAGGAAGATGTGCATGAGAAAGCATACACATAGCCATCGTGACGAGCGTTCTATTTAATCACTCTGACACCCCGTTCTGGTACTGCGTATACGGGGTACTCTTTTGATGAGAAATGCCCCCAAAGTTGATGAGATTATACTCGGTGCCGCCGTCACTTCGAAAAGCTTTAGTTTTCTCCCCGGTTTGTAGTTCCTTCGATTCCTTGTATTTAATGAAATAAGAGGGAAACTCAGTGAGACCCCGAAGTAGAAAGACTTCGCTCTCGCGTGAAAAGTCATTGGTGAAGCTGACAAAGTAATTGGCACCAAGTATACCAGTCGCACAACACCTCCCCCAAGTGTCAGAATGAACCAGCTGTAGAACACTCTTTGGCTGGAGAGAGGGGTCACGACGGATTCTCTCAACCTGTTTGCAAGAAAGGCAAACATCACAGTCCTTAATTGACTGTAAGAAAGAATTCTTTTCGAAAGAGACCTTCTTGTCAATCATCTGATTTAATTGGCTGTTGTCAAGTAACGAAAGAATTCCAGAACCGATGTGCGCAAATTGGTGATGAAGAAGCCAATAAATTTCAGATACTGATTTCGAAGGTAAAGAAGTTGAAGAAGTTGAAGAAGTTGCAGAATTTAAAGAAAAATTTCCGCGAGAAACGGACGATTTATCCTTCGTTATTAAAGCAGCGGAAGGCACGTCATAAAAAGAAGAATAGTTATAGCAAGAAGTAGGCGATTTTCCCTTTGTGATCAAAGCAGTGGACGAGGTTAAATCAGAAGATGAAGAGCGGTGCAACGAAAGTAAAGTACGCGAAGAAATTAAAGACTTGGGTGAAGAATTAACGACGTTGAAGCAGAATAAGCCGTCTTTTACCCTAGCAGTTGCTAAAGAATTATTGTCCTCTCCATGAACAATATACAGCCCATTTTTAGAAGTATGCATTCCATAGCCATTGGAATGCAGCTGAGAGCCCGAGACGAGGTTCTTGGTAGAAGCAGGAAGGTACCAAACATTGTCAAGGGTGATAGTTCTACTCAATGAACTATCAGAAAAGTTTGCGACATCAAAACTGACAGAACCGATACCCTGAACAGCAAGAATATGCCCAGAAGCAGTCTGAACACGTTTTTTAACTGCAGACAGAGAAGTGAAGTAGCTTCTGTCCGCAAAAATATGATTAGTGGCACCCGTGTCAAGAACCACATCTTTCTCCACCGGGCAGCTGGATGGGGACAAAAAGTATTCCGACACAATCCAAGCTTCGCCAGTGTTTTGATTAGCAGTAGCACCTCCAGAGCTAGACCCATTTCTTTTTTTCCCGAATTTATAGAAAAGAGATCGAGTTATTGCAGCTTTTTCTGGATTCTTGGCGGCCCATTTTGACCCATCCGGAGTCTTAAGCCACAAGAAGCAAGTTTCACGAATGTGATTAGTTCGTCCGCAGTGGCCACAGGTTTTAACCTTGTGAGGATTGACCGATATGTTGGAAGAATTATTGGCAGGTGGTGCCCCTGGCCCGCGGTTGCCGGAAACGAAAGAAACAGAAGGGAGAGGTTTGTGGCCCTCATAGTTGGCCTGAGTTGACCGGAGAGATTGCACAGCACTGGCAAAAGAACAGTCCGTATTATTTTGAAGGGTTGTGACAGACCCAGCAAAGTAACCTCCACAACAAGTATCAAAGAAATCGAGAAGGTAGCCTTTCACGATATCATCTCTAGGCTGAATTGAGGGATCGACGCAGGCGATCCGCATCTGTCGACGAACCAGTTCTTCAACAAATTTGTCGACGCTGGTTCCATTGGGCATTTCAAAGCGCCAAAAGTCCTTGAGAAGAGCGACAACGGTACCTTCGCATCTTGGCTTGAAAAATGTCTGGATGAAGTCCCACATCTCTTTTGCTGTGTGTAACGGCTAAGAAGCCGGTATTTTCCTGTAGCCAGTAATGGCAAGTACTGGCGTACAACCACCAGGGGGGTGGGCCGGCGCAATAGCCTTGCAGAACATACCAGAACCATTGTCGAAGGTACTAGATAAGATTCGACATGAACAAGACTGTAACTGAGACTTGAAGAAGCTACTAGAAACCATATTTTCAGAGTTGCAACTGGAATTATCTAGAAATGAACTGACCTTAGATGGAAGGGCTTGGAATGTAGTAATCTGTATAAATACCTGGCTAAGTATCTGTAGCTTAGTTGTACATAGTTGAATTGTTAATATACCATCATCCATACAAATGCTCCCTGCTTTCTATAGTTGATCTGTGACACTGTGTTTAAGTTAGAGACGAGGAGAAATGATTCCTCCGGGACAAGCGAGATAAGCGCGACCTGTATTTAACAATCCTGTCAATGGAGAGGCGAGGTTTTCGTACTTTCAACTTTGGCATCGTGAAGATCTGATATGTGCTCATAGATGTGAGCTTCAATATCGAGGTTGCTGAAAACCCTTTCAACGAGGTCAGACCATCGAGTAAATGTTGAAGTACTTAACTGGGGAGCACATTGAAGTGCCTTCAAAATATTGTCAGTTGACATCTAGAGAGTCGTGAGTAGGAAGATATACAAGATAGGGCGAGATAAAGTAGAGAGATGTCGAAAGATGTCGAAAGATGTCAAAAGTGTTTGAACTTAGTTCAAAAGGATAAAGAGTAAGCAGGTGAATGGAAGCAAGAAATCGCTGAAGAAAAAAGGAAGACAGAGTCACGTGTATTTTTTTTTTTATTCATTTTATTGTCCTGTCTGAGTCTATGACTATGTAGGACATGCAGGTCCTCTCTGCCTACAGGCCAAGGATACCTATACCAGTAGTATATCCCCTCCTATGCCTCCCATACAGCTCCCCTCAAACAGTACCACCCCTCACAAGTCCTCATTCGATCATACACTAAGAGGAGCCCTTAGCCCTTCATTATCTCCCCTCTACAGCCAACGAAACGATGGCCATTTGCGCGTGTATAGCAGCTGGGAAAATTCGCAAAAACCACTGGGTGCGGGGCTCTTCTAATACCGACATTAGGAATAAATCCGAAGACATATTGCCCCTTCTGAAGCGTTCGAAGAGGCTGGCCAGCTGGGCGCTGCAGACTTGTGGGTACCTCGGGAAATTCACACTCTGCCTTTCTAGCCTCCTTCCAACTCCTTCCCGAAGGTCGTGCTGAAATGTCAGAAAAGTCTTGACAGAGCGTGATTGCTGTATAGTAGCTTAGCCTCACTTCTTTTATACCGTCCAGGGCGCTGGGGAGTGCCGTTGACTCATCGACAAAAGAAGCCCTCCTGGCTAATTAGCCGAAATCTTGGTCTTGGCGCCCACAAAAAATCCAAGTTGAAAACTCCTCGAAAGTGTCAGTCCCAGCATGGTCTTCAGAGACCTCTTTCCCCTCTCGCTCCACATCTCAGCCGCTTGTTCTTCCTCAAGATGTATAACCCCATTAGAGCAGCAGTCCCTCGTAAACCAAGACCCCAACTTTGTATTTTTCGACTTGATTTCCTCCTTGCAGGTATAAATAGCGTCGTAAATATGTAGAGAGTGATGGCCGGTGATGAATGAGACAAGCTCCTGTTTGCAATTGGGGTGACGCCTTTATCGGTCGGCGAGGCGAGTTGATATGTGGCTAGATCGGGGTTGAGGACTCAGAAGACAATGATGAGTGCTGCATGGTTGAGAAGTCGTCAAATGGAGATATGCATGTGTTTGCTTTCGACTTCGATTCGGATGCGATTCTTCTTGGCTATCCCAGATATGCAGAGCATACTGAGCGATTACACCGGCACCACTGGAAGGTGAAGAATTCATCTTTGCCGGCTATTCCCACCTATATTTGCATGTACTTTTTGTTGGAATTTCGCACCAGTTGCTTACTCTAGAGCTACACAATTGTTGGTGATGATCGGCAAGGCTGCATAGGAATAACTTGGCGCACAATTGCACTAGACTGAAATTGGTTTTAGCGTCAGACGAAGAACACGAGTAATATGTAGAAACCTAGATGTACATTCTTTACAACATTCCGACGAATAATGTAATATAATAAGAACGATTTACGTGAATAATTTATTTGATTGAATTACTAAGAAGTACTTTGAAGCTGTGCCTATATTCTTTGAGTGAGTTTCCTCTTAGAACCCATACACACTTTCCAACACTTTTTCACTTCTTCCCTAATTACCTTATTTTCATGATCTATACCCAAGAAAATCTCACTAAACAAAGAAAGTTTGTGGTAAGCCATGACATGACGCTGCTCGTTACTTCTAAGATACAAAATAACTGCAACATGGTGAGTGAGGTGCTAGCAACTACAATCAGTAAGGTAGTAAGCCCCGAATCGATGAAGAAGCTATTAAGAACAGAAATGATAGAATATGATGTAGAGCGGCTCGCGTCACGGCTCAAATTACACAGGATCATGTCAGGTTGAGGTGGTTAAAGTTACGGTCTTGAGTGAAGATGGAGATTATAGCTTAATCAGTTAGTCTTATATGAGGTTGTAGAAGTAAGATTTGGGTGGAAACAATTGTATAGAGAGGTATGGTTCTGAGTAAATCGAGATGATGAAAGTGAGATTACATGAGCGCATATCTTATCAACTGGTGTTTTTGGCCAGTTTGCAATCAATAGATATATAAGCCAGGAATAGAAAGCTAAATACACGTGTGTTGGTAATAGATCCGAGAAACGTATAACAATGAGTAATTCTTGGCATTCCAAGATATATTATATTTTAACAAAAGGCGTAAATCTCGGCTCCGTGGAGTCGACAGTGAGAGCTGGAGATTTGTAGATGAAACTATGGACAGATGTTCAGTTTTATCTTCCTCCCAACGACTATCAGTTGTATGACACAATCCTGATTGGAATGAAATTTAATTCAAGTGTAGATAATCAACTACGAGTCATTTCGATGGTTATTTTGGCTAAACTTAGGATCGGTAGGACTCTGAGCTAAGAGATGACTCGGAGAGCGCTGGCACTCAAAATTTTAAATATCAGCAATAGGAGACGACGAACCACTGAATTTTGGATGGAGTGTAAAATCAGCATCAGTATCTCAATAGAAACCTGCTCATTCGATATACATGTATGAGTGTAAGTGGAGGGAATCTCACAGACTTTTAAAGTGTTTACGGCACAGCCAAGACTTCTTCGAGGATATGAAATAACGACAGGTAATTGAAACAACAATCAACTCCACACATCTAGATGCGGGCCTTGCCGAAATTAATGAGCATAATAGCGTAGTAGAAATAGATAAATCATCATATTGGCTGTTTCTTGACTGTTTTCGATGGTCCGACTTCCATCAACAAAATACTTGAGAATAACCAATAATCATGCGCCTCTCTCGCATAGCCATCATCTTTCAAAGCGCGAGCATCTGCACGACAAGCCTTGCCGCCCGCTATGTGAGACATATTAATGAGGCATATAAGGTATTTAATTGTGATATTGAACTTGAGCAAGAGGAATATTCACGGATATATCATGAGAAAATACTTGATTCAGCTACTATTGGGACTTTGAGTGAAGAACTCAATGATCTAGTTGGAAACACCAGAGATACGAGGAATGTTCAGTTCTATGACCAAGACAACGGTGACTACGAGTATATCCTTCTTTCAACAAAAAGCCATAGTATGACTATTCTGTGCATTCCGTAATCTTATCTAACAATCATGAATAGGATCTTACGTCGGAAATGATCTTATTAAAATTGAATACATACTCGTCATCGACCGGCAAGGTCGTGCATGTGCCATGATGATGAGGAAGACTGTAAAACCATTCGGAGATAGGGACGGAAGTGCAACACGAAGATTTTACAGCTTGTGCCAAGTTGGCTCCAGATATCTCACATAATAGCGGTCAGATCAGCGGATCGGGAACTCTTTGCAAATTTACTTGCTTGACCAGTGAGGGCTTCTCTATTGCCATGGTAACTGGAGCACGAGTTGTGCTAGGCTGAGTCGAAATTGATATCATCTTACATGAATAACGAGGTAGCTCGGCCTTCAACCGTGTCACGGTTGCACATGGGCTGGGTTCTGACGGTTTTATATAACTGTGTTGTTCGATAGTAAGAAAAGAGAAGATTAATTGTAAGCGACACCTACGCTTATCCAGGCGTCTGACACAAGTTCCTCGTCCCTTGAAAATCGATGGGTTGAATCATGCCGAGTACATTTGAACCGAGTCTGCGTAGCAAATGTGGATGCACTATGCGCAGAGGCATGGATTTCTAGGTCTGACGATCAAGATCAATCCTGTTGGTTCAATTATGTATGAGTGACCTTGGCTAGGCGGCGTCAGTTTCGGTGGTATGCAGAAATCGTAGGCCGGGAGATTCCACCGTGCAACAACTGGGTGAGTAGTGGTTGCTAGATCACCAGAGCCTCCAAAAGTTTTATTTCATAGTTTATATGTTTGTTCATTTATTTACGTCCGCTCGGAGCCCTGCTACCCACTAAACTAACAAGAGGGATCGATGCCAGAGCATACTGCCCCGAAGGCTTCGCACCTGTAGCCACCTACTTTTCGTTGCAGGGCCTTATGAAACTATCTACGCGGCGCGATTTAACTCACACGGTAATGTGATGTGACTGTCACAGATGTCTTGAATGCTCATCGCAGCTCGTTCTGGACACGGAGATTTCGCCCTAAATCATCGACGTTTTGCACACGAAGATGCCCTAATGACTTGCTCCTGTGGCGAAGAAAAAAGCCCTCATCACTTCTTCTTCTGCAGTATAGGAAGAAACCGTGCCCGTCTTCGCGGTGGACCTCGTCATCCTTGCCCCGGCATCAAATGGGTACTTGGCACGCCTGAAGGTGCCCACGTGTTCGGAAAATTGGTCGAGCTTACGAAGTTCTTCGACGAAATCCAAAGAGCCCATGAGATATTTCCGGGTGAAATTTTACCATCTGGGGTGGGGTTAATATTAGATGGAAGGATTTATTCTTATTTTCTCGTTCTGCAGGTGTAATTTAAAACTACTGGTAAAAAAAGGCAAAGTTCCTGGTAGAGGGAAATTTATTAAATTTAAATTGAAAAGCTGAGTGGCTGACAGCTGGTTTTTTATTTATTTTTATTACGAATAGGTCCTAAGCTTTAGCTCTTTGTCCACTATGGGTCAAGGACCGGCGGATCCGGCAGGGCTCCCTGAAACTTTTCCTACAGCCTAACTGTTTTTTTTTTTTTTGCATCAGATTTTAATTGCGTATGCAGCTATCTAGCTATGACACAATATCAAAGAAAAGTACAGAATAGATGATTCAACGTAAAGGAAGAGCACTCATGCTTCAGATTTCATTTGCAAGTACCACTGCGAAGTTATGGTGGCTTTTTCTTCACCCCAAGTCAACCCTCATCCGTGAATACCCACCCAGGGGAACGTCTCAAAAACCCTGAGTTATCCAGACATGCCTCCATCATCTTTCAACTTTTCTCCGCGCGAAATGTGATCAGAGGTGTCTCCTTCCCAAGTGGAGTAGGTGCCCAGGCTACTCAAACCATACCAGAGAACACCACCAGGAGGCGGATCACTACACCTTCCATCGTCTGCTTGTTTTTATAGTGTGAGCTGCACTCTCGCAAGCGAAGCCTTGGCGCGCACAAAGCTCAATCCGTAAAACTTCATGCCAAAATTCGAAATTTCACGCCCGTCGAAAACGTATCCCTCTTCTGCATCATCTTGTAAACTTGTCCTAATCCCTCTCACGTCCATCCCAAAGAGCTATCTCTCAGATTTGTGCTCCACGCTTTGCTTCCTCCGTCGGGTATAAATATCGGCGTGGGCGTGTATTTGGTGACCGGCTGAGGCCAGAGAAAGTCGAGGAGAGGTGTGGTCATTGAAACGAGGATGTACTATGTCGTACTTGTAGACTTGATGAAGCTTAGTTGAGAATCGGACTCTTTGGGAGTGAAAAATTGACATGGTGGAGTAATTCGAATTTTTGCCTCGTGGGCCAACTTCTTTGATGTTGCGAAATTTGACTGAACTTGGCTCTGGGAGAATATTTCACTCCCAGGTTCGTAGAGGACACCGCGTACAGGTGTTCAGTCTTGCCCTCCTACAGCCTAACTTGTTCCAGCCTCGTGAATCGCTGCCAAAGGTGCAGCTGATTAAACAGAAACGAAAATCACTGTTGGTAAAACACGAAGTAATACAAATTGGGTGCCGTCACGAAGTCAGCTGTCCGTCACGAATTCGGTGAATAATATCAATTAACTGGTATCTCGAAATACACAAAAAGTTGTTCCTTCTTTTCCTCTCCATCTCCCCTTCCTTCCTATACTCCAAGCACCTCGCTAATGAGCTAAATCAGACCCCTGCCAGTGTCCTAACAACAACCTGAATATCGCAAATACATAGAACAATTCACACTACTCAAATGTGATCCTTTTACCGACAATCACGAAAATCAAAAACAACTCCGAAAAAAAACCAGATGATTCCTCCACATTGGACCCAGCCAATGCGCTCCTCACACGTTCCGTCATACATCACACCTTCCAAATGACAAATTAGCCCATTCTCCGCTGAGAGCAAAGGGTGGGTTAGCAGGCACCTTTGGTCCAGCCGGTATCCTGCTATTGGTTAGTAGATGCCCAAACAAGGATATCGTCGAGGTTGCTGTTCCCTCAGGCTTCTTCTTCAGATTCCAACACTCCGGAACCTGTTGCCTCAGCCATCGAGACATCCTTCGCCGCGGCGACCATCGCCTCTTCGGCCTTTTTGGCTGCGGCCCTAGCTCGAGCCGCCTTTGAGAACTTCCCCTGCTCGAGGTGGCGAATCCACGCGAGCTGCTCTTTGGTCACCGGTCCCCCACAGTTACGACACTTTGTGAGGGTCCTGCATTCGGCTTCCGAGTGCATAGTTGATCCGCAGGTCCAGCAGGCTGGAGCGCGGGAGCGACCAGGGGTGGCATGGAAGCCCAAACAGCCTTTACACTGTTCGATTGGTCGACGAGGCTTGTGAATGGTTGCCTTACCAGACTCCCCGAAGAGGCGGAAGCCCGCACGAGGGGCGTCCTCCCGATCGAAAAGGGCATGCCAGTTTCTGTGCGGCGCCCCAAGTCAACACGTCCCATGTGTTGTCATCAGGCCCACTTATAGATCACACAAATGGCTAGTATTAGGCAAGTGTAACCGACAGGACAAGCGACTCTGTGTCACCAAACTTTACTGCGAGTGCGGGAGGGAGAAATCAATTGGTCACCTTGCACAGTGTCGAAAAGCACTGGCAACATGGCGGCTGAAAAGCGGAAAGCGTAGAGCGCCGGCTCTGGGAACAATGCTTGGATCAAGGGGATGGCAGCTGTTCAGGAACTACGTCCAGGAGAGTGGAATATACGCGGAGGCTAGTCGGGGGATGGCAGGGATACCTGTGACTCGGAGGTGATAGATCAAAGGCCTAGGTGGTTTGGCATGGACAGAGAGATTGGAATCGAGGCTCAGGTGCGTGGTGGCTGAGGCGGAACGATGGAAGGGAGATTGTTTAAGTTTTTCTTTTGTAATGCGGGATTTCGTGGGAAAGTTTTTGTTTTGTTTTCAATTCTGGGCTGCCAAATTTGTCATGGTTCAACACATAGATGCATTTTGGCATGGTTCCGGTCATTTAGGTGGGACGAGGCATTTGTACTGCACGGTAGTTAACCTGATCCGGCCCGACCCCACTCGTGCTCAAGCTCCAGTAGGAGTGCGACGGTAGTTAATCCACCTAGCACGTTAATGAACAAACAAACGCACCATTCGAGAAATTCGAAAATTCGAAAATTCCCTATTTCACTTTTTCCATTCCTATGACCACTTCTGTGCTTGACTTCTCGAATTGTTAACCGTCGCGAGGTATTTAAAATGCCTCCGGTGAGAAAAAATCGCCCAAAGCCGACAACTTCAGCCGGCTTTGAACGGACACCATTGTGTCCAAAACCTACTGGCCTCGCGCAAAAATTATCAAGCCTATTTGCGAGTGAGGCCTTTGTCCCAGGGAAGTCCACAAATCTTCCCGATCAAGAGATGACTGATTCTGAACCGATCAGAGCAGAAAACAATGGTCCCAAGACCAAAACCCCCGTCGAACTGCCCCCTTTGGCAAGCAGCTCCAGGAAAGGAAAGGAAGTTGTTCGAGAAAAGACAACCCAACGTGCAGAATCATCTGCAGGAAACAATGCTGTGCCAGCCTCTAAAGGCGTAGCATCTACATCAGCAATGGAATTTCCACCAGAGCTGCAAACCGTGATGGAGGCCGAAAAGCGACGTACGACGCAAATTACGGCCCGCCTCGCCATCTGCTCGACTGCAATAAACAGTGTTGAAGCAGCACTTTCGCCTCTTTCGATCGGCGAAAATAAAGAATTTGTAGACGGAATCAAAGTCTATCTTCGAGCAGCCATCGGCCAGTTCGTACAATCTGGCCCAGGGAGCACACCACCAGTTCTCCCTGCTCGCCCCGCCAACCCTCTTCCGCCGAGGGCACCAGAAATAAGGGTTCCTAACCCTCTAACAACCCAGGCTCCGGCCCCAAAGACAACTTGGGCCACCGTAGCTCGGGCAGGCCTAGTCAGCAGCGCTGGGCCGTCGACTACAAAGGTAGTACCACCCGCCCAGAAAGCAAAAAGTGCCAACTCGAGTGGAAAAGCCGATTCACGACTTTTTCTGCGCCTGAATATTTCCATACCCACCGTCTCCTCTCCCCAGCTGGAGTAAGGCTAGCGGTGTCTCAGGCGCTGGGAACCGCTGCCAACAATATCACGTTGGTTCAGCGGGTAAAGACCGGCTTTGCAATAACCGCAAAGGATGAACTCGCTCGAACAGAGCTCCTAGATTCCTCCACATCACGGAGCGAATCTGGAATCAA